ATACAAAATTGTCCTTCATTTATATTTCCCTTTTTTGTTTAGTTTTGTCAGAGATGGGTATTCCATTGCCACCCAAATATTGTAGGTGAGTGAATTCAGCAAAATAATACAACATAGTCCAGTAGTCCATAATAATAGTGGGTTATCCATAGGACCGGCAATGTCAGAAGTTGTTGACTTGAGCCTTTTAGAGCTCAGCATATTAAAGTCAAAATGGATTAAAGAGCCCTACACTTTTAAGTGGTGTTAACGTTGGTGAGCAGGAAGGTCATGAGAAATGAGGAAACAGAAAGAGTATATTTCACTTCTTTTCAGCGTGCATGAATGTACTGTTTGGAAGGCCAGTTACTTTTGTTTAAAAAAAATGAATGAATGAATGAATGAATGAATGAATGAATGAATATCTACTGAATGCTTCTGTGATATCCTAAATAAATTTGGTCGGTTAAATGTCTGAAGTACTCCTAAAACATCGTGTGATGGCAAGAGGAAGTTAGAGAAATAAAAGGTGTCATAAAGTTAAAAAGTAAGAGTTTACTGATGCTTGGTCACTAGTTATCCAAGTCACATGAATCTCAGGGATGAAGGTCAAGGCCACAGTGACTCAAGCTCCCCAAGGCTCTTCTCCAGGAGGCAGACCCAGGCACAGACGCGCACCTCAGTCCATCCCTAGCCGCTGGACAGACGCTTGCGGCGCCTCTCGGGGAGGAGAGGCAAGAGGAAGGGGAGGCAAGCGGCGGCGGCGGCCCACGGGGAAGCGGGCAGCGACCCGCGCGCTGCCGGGAAGGAAGTCGCGTCGCAACCCGGGATCCGGCAAAGGAAAGAAAACCCGAGCGCGGCCAGGTCGCCAAGTCGCCTTCGCGGAGGGCAAGGGGCGGCGCCTCGCTGCCTCCGCCGGGCTCTGGCAGCGGATTCCCGACCTCGGGTCTCAGGGGCTGCGCGGGGACCGCAGCGGCAGCAGGTAAGCCAGCTGCGTTCTCTGCTCACCGGGAAAGAATTGAGGCGGATACAAAAGTTGCAGTTCTTGTTACATAGGTCTTGCTTTATCTTGGTCTTGACCATCCAGCAGAACAGTGCAGAAACGAGGTATGAAAAGTGAAGCCACGTTAATATGTGGAAGGCTCAAGTCAACAGATTCGAACATTGCCAGTCCTGAGGATAGCCCACTACTATTGTGGACTACCGGACTATATTGGAATATTTTTGCTGAATTCATGAGCCTACAATATTTGGATGGCAGTGGAATACCCATCTCTGACAAAACTAAACAAAAAATGGAGATATAAATGAAGGACAATTTTGTATCTGTATATACAAAATAGATAGGATAGGTACATAATTACTTTATCTTAATTCAATAAGAAAGAGTTGTACTAATAGTGTTTGGACAGGCTATCATGTCTGCATCTTGTGCTATGAATGACTACTACAAAGACAACAATATGCAATGTATTAATTGTTATAACTCTCCCACCAGCCTGTTTTAAAAATGTCTCTTTGCAACTTTTCTTAATAAAATTAATTCTTAAAAAAAGAATTGGGGGCCTCTGTGGGTCCCCAGAAGGAAGCTGGGGATGCAGGTAGCCCTGGGCAGGAGCCTGAGGACACTCCTTGCACTGAAGGTGGTGGATGTGTGGTGGCCACTGGGGTCAGGGCTCCGAGCAACTAGGAAAGTGCCCGGTGTGGAGCGCGGTCTCAGCAGGACACTGTCCCACCTGGAAACCATTCTAGGGACAGGTGTGTCCTGCCTGGAAAGACCTGGCAAGGCTCTGCTTCCCTTAACTACACTGCTTCGGAGCTCAGAGGACAGCCTCAAATCTCGGGCAAAGCTGGGCTCCACAGGTTCTGCCTACGCTGTACGGTACCAGAAGGAACAATTATAAAGCCTACTAGATGTCACTGAAAGTTAATATTAATTGGAGTTATGATTGAAATACAAACAGCACTTCAGATTGTAGAATACCAGAGACAAGCGATAGGCAGAGCCGGAGGTGGAGGTGGGGTGGTGACTAGCTCCAGGCTGCCTGATCTTGGACTCCCTTCCACAGCTTGCCTTGATTGCACTCTGACCTGGTGTCTTCATTCATACATGTTTTGTCTGCTTGCCTTATCTTTATTGTTTTTATATAAACATGAATTAATATTTACTACCTATCAGGGCAGTTGGGGCATTAATAACAAGTATAAATGGCTAATAAACACACAAAGAAATATTCAACATTGCAGACCATTATAGAAATACAAATTAAAAAATACTGAGATACCATTTTACTCCAGAAAGAATGACCATAATTAAGAAGTTAAATAATAACAAATGCTAGCAAGACTACAGGGAAAAAGGTATCTTCTACATTATTGATGGGAACGTAAACTGGTACAACCACTCTGAAAGTCAGCTTGGAGACCCCTCAAAAAATTAAAATTAGACATTTCATTTGACCCAGCTGGGTATCTCTTTCACGTCGTTGAGTCAAAAGGGCATTGTTGCTATCAGCTCAGTGCCTGGAGTCACTGAGCCAGCGTGAAGGACATACAAACTGCCCCAATTGTCCCATACTTCAAGTAACTTTGTAAAAACAGGGCCAGAGGACAGATAATCAGATCAAATCTGCAATTTGGGCATGTTGGTACAGAAAGGATTAAGGAAACAGAAGAAAAAGTGGGGGGCAAGGGAAAAAGAATTAGAAAATTAGGTAATGGAATAATGGAGGAGGCAAGTGTAGAGTCCTGGAACAAAAGCATTGAGAATAGGGATACAAAGGAAGCAACAGTTTAATTATAATTGCTGTGGGTATGAGATGACATTTTGATTATTCACATAGGGAAAGAAGGAATACTCACAAACAAAATGCCATTGAAATGGGCAGAATAGGGGCCAGCGAGATAGCTCAGCAGTCTGAAGTGCTTGCCTATTGCCTTATCTTTAGAATTGTGTAATAATTGCAGGAGACAGAGGCAATAAAACCTACGTGTATTAAGTTGTTAACATATTACCTGACAGTTTAATTCTTTTTCCCCTACATCTGAGGGCTTCCTTGCTGCTTCTAGCTCACTATCAGGCTATGGAGTGCTTTTGTGTATTGTTGTTCCTGATAATGTGGGTGTGGCCTTTCCCCACTTCCAGAACCCTCTTTTTTGCTCCCAGCTGAGCCACTGGGGCTACCTGGTCAGTACAAGTGACACTTGCACGGTGAGGAGTGTTGTGCAGCTCAGGGTGCTGTTTGTCTCTCCCAAGCTTCACTACCAGCACAGCATTCCTCTCAGGCCACCCTTGGGAGCAGACAGCTGTAGGATCTGAACAACAGTAGCACAAAGAAAACCTCACAGGGAAGTGAACAAATTATTGCAAGACAAAGGAAGTGGATTTCATAGAAAGGGGCCATGTTGAAATGGGTGGGTGGTAAAAGGCCTGAGAAGGGGCTAGCCTAGAGGTGGAGGGACCATCAGAAGTGCAAGCTGGCTCCTGCATCTCCCATCTTCATCACTAGAGATCTCTCCTTCCCGTGCGCTGTAACCTCCACACATTTCCTTCTCTTGACTGAATCAGGTATTTCCAGCCTCGGGCCTCATACTTATTACTGATATTCCTGAGCTTTTTGAGTTTTTTTGTTTTGTTTTTTGTTTTTGTTTTTGTTTTTGTTTTTTGTAGTACCAGGGACTGAATTCAGGACCTTGCACTTGCCAGGCAAGCACTTATTCCACTGAGCTTTCTCCCCAGGCCCCATTACTGAGCTATTTTTACTCGAAGTACTTAAACATATTTTCTGAGACACATTTCACTGTGTTTTTATTTCCTGGAGTGCCTTGCAGAGGAGGATGCTGCAGTGTGTGACTTAGAGCCTTAGCTGTTCTGCATCTTCGCTCCTTGAAGGCCACCCATGTTGTACTAAGTGAATATTTATACATGCAATGTGCACGTGTGCATGCACAGGCACTTACACTACAGTTCTACATTGAATAGTTCTCAACTTAAAAGCCAACACCTTAGCTAAATGCAGACTTTTTTTCAAGTTCAAGTTCAGGACCTTATGGATCAAATCCAGGCAGGCAAGCGCTTATGCCGCTGAGCTATATCCCCACCCCAGGCATTTCTCATTTAATGACTAGCTCTGCTCAAGGAGGAGATCATTCAATGAATTAGTTGCTAAATGAGTATGTACATATATAGTGTTGCATACACATAATGTTGTGTACATGTATCGGATATAGCATGTATATTTGGAACAAAGAAATCGTACAAAGATGCTCCAACCTGATAACTTGGCTTTTATTTGTGTAGCTCTTACATGCAGTATTATAGTGTATAACAGTACATAAAACTTCAGGACTATAGTGTATAATACAATCATTAAAATTGCAGTATTCCATAAACAAGAGGTACTATACAAAGAAGGATATTGAGGTTTTATAAAGATGTACAGAACTGTACAAAGAAAATGACAGATGGTAAGTCTGAGGCCTGTGTCCTTACATCATTAAGCAGGTGATTCATTAAGCAAAGAATATTTGTAGTAAGAATTAGTCTTTTAATTCTCCAAGTATTGTCTTAATAAATGCTAGAAAAAAATGCTACTTGCCTTAGTACAAAGTATAGGGTCAGAAAATAAATTAAAATTCAGTGCTTTTCTGTTTTACATGGAGCAGATAACATAAAAGATTCCCTCTAGAAAATGTTCCTGAAAGATGCTAGTCTTCTTTTCTACAGTGAAACAGGGACATGAATGTAAATGATACGAATCCTTAATCTTAATTCAGCTAGTTAGTGACCTGTGCGGTATTAAATAGCCATTTCATCTCTATGAAGTACTTTCCTTATTTGTAGGCAGAAAGGAAAGAGTTCAAAACTGTGAAGGAGCCTTGGGTTCTCCATACAAGGCTTTTCAGAATAGACCATCAGTCAAATGAGAACAGCTTACTTCCAAGATCAACCTTCCCACTTTGGTCTCTTTGATTTATTAGTTTTGTGAAATAGTTGATCACTACTACTTCAGTTTATTCTAGTTGATGCATGAGCTCTACTTGTCTTCAGGGTTCGCTGTCCCAACCCAAGTTGGCTCTAAATGCATTTGCTTTGTTTTCTTCAGCCTAAAACACAGAAGCGCTTGATAATAGCAGACTTCCTGTTCCAAGATACATTGTCCTTCTCTGCAGCCCCAGTAAGAGCACTTCTGGCTCATACATCACAGGTAAGTGCGCTGGCCGGGTCAAAAGCTCACACACTCTGTGCTGCATCCATTTGTGTAAATGCACGTATTTTTATGGGGCTTGATTTTTATGGAAACCACAATCAAAGATGAAATATTCTTTCTTTAGGTAATAACTAAACCTTTTCAAGTGCACACAATTTACCTAAAAAAGGCAATTGAAAATATGTAAAAATTATTCAATTAAGGACTTTAACACATACTGTCTTCTGTCTTCTTCCCCTGACATACTCAAACTTTGTCTTCTCTTCCCAACATAGTGTTTCATTTTACTTATTAGCAGTAGATTAGAGACTTACCATTCTGACAATTGTTTCAAAAGTAGTAGTGTGGTGCTAAAATTGTTCAGAGCATATATTCCCATTTGGGGGGTTATGAAGAATGTGATCTAGTCTTGTTCTGGATGAGAACAAGAATTAATAAATTCTCACAAAGACTGCAGATCTAGAGAATGCCTCTTTGACCTACACTACAGTAGGTTGCTGATATCCAGGAAATAACTCTTGAAAACAATAAGAAAAATCTTAGGACCTTGAGAGATGAGTCAAATTATTTTCACTATAGTATGAATTGTGAAGATGTAACTAGAAATCGTCACACTATTTCTCTCATAATAAGAATATTTTGCAATTATTAGATGGCCCATGCCAGCAATTTAGTATTTTTGAAAGATTAACTTTAACAGATGTACTCTTGTAGTATATGCTGCCTCAATTTTCTCCAAATCTCTTATGTAACACAGGAAAAGAGATGTCAGAACTAACTCATGTTTTCGAGTTCCATGATTCCCATGGCACCATATGTAGTATGACTGTATTAAGATTGTCTTAGTTCCTTTCCTTCCTGCTGAGACAGAAGACTCAACTCCCAAAGTTAAAAGAGAAATAATTCATTTAACTCATAATTTTAGAAGTTTCCATCCATTATTGGCTGAGTCCAAAGCAGGGCAGCATCACAGAACAGAAACAGTTCACAGTATACAGAAGAGAGCAAAGCAACAAGGGACAGTCACAGCTCTTTCCATCCCTTATATTTTGCCCAGAGAACTTCAGGCAGGTAGCACTCACACCCTTAACCATAGTGCTCTTGGGCCTACTGTTCAACCATGAATCGAAATTATCATCACATACTTTATATCCAGCCACCTCTGGAAACGCTCCACCTATGACCACATGAGGCTTTGGGTGGACATTAAACATGTCATAACATTCTACCCTTCATCCGCCAAAGACTCATACATATACCTCTATGAAAAGTCATTTCATCCATCTGCAAGAATTGCTAAAGTCCTAACAGTTTCACCATTGATGAAAAGTTTAAGCCCAATGTCTCCTCTTGATTTAAAGCATACCCCTACTGCAAGCCCCCAAACAAATGAAAAGATTGTTAAACACTTCCAACATAGAATGGAACAAGATAGACATATCTATTCTAAAAGTTTCAAACAGAGGGATAGCAAGAAATGGAACAAAGGCAAGACCAAAATCCAGCAGGGTAAACATCAAATCCCATAGTTCCTCTTCCAGCATCCCTGGAAATCTGTGGTAAGTTGTAAATTCCATTGGGGTAGCTCTACTTCTACAACACGTCTGGTGGTGGTACCTCCCCTCGCTTCTCTCTAGGGCTGGTTCTTCTCCCTCATTGCAGTTTTCTTCAGATGATCCATGATCCATGTTCTTAATCTCTCCAAACTTTTGAGGTCTCAAAGCACCTTCATGTTTATATTCAGGACTTCACAAGGTGCCCTTTCAGGTGCACACTAGCTGGCCTCCCAGGCCTTTTCTGAAATCTAAGTGTAAAATGGTAGAGTAAGTGCACATGCATGCACACATGCGCATCCATGGAAATATTGCATGTATAACTATCCACTTCATACAACATGTGTGGCTTTCAAGGAATGAAGATACAGGGCAGCTCAGGCTCCGGGTCACACACTGCAACATTCTACTCTGCACTCCAGGGGAAAAAAAAAAAAAACAAAAACAGTGAAATGTGTTTCAGAAAATATGCTTAAATACTGAAATAGCTCAGTAATAAGAAAGGGCTTTGTGCACAGTAATTTAGACTGTAGGGACAGTGGCACTGTCAGGATATTGATACCTGAATAGAAAACTGCGTCAAGTCCCCAGTGCACAGAGCGAGGTGTGCTCGCTGCAGGGCCTGTGAAGTCGGTGCAAACCAGGGAACCAGGCAAGTGTGAGGCCCGAGGCTGGAAATACCTGATTCAGTCAAGAGAAGGAAAGGTGTGGAGGTTACAGCGCACGGGAAGGAGAGATCTCTAGCGATGAAGATGGGAAATGCAGGAGCCAGCTTGCACTTCTGATGGTCCCTCCACCTCTAGGCTAGCCCCTTCTCAGGCCTTTTACCACCCACCCATTTCAACATGGCCCCTTTCTATGAAATCCACTTCCTTTGTCTTGCAATAATTTGTTCACTTCCCTGTGAGGTTTTCTTTGTGCTACTGTTGTTCAGATCCTACAGCTCTCTGCTCCCAAGGGTGACCTGAGAGGAATGTTGTGCTGGTAGTGAAGCTGGGGAGAGACACACAGCACCCTGAGCTGCACAACACTCCTCACTGTGCAAGTGTCACTTGTGCTGACCAGGTAGCCCCAGTGGCTCAGCTGGGAGCAAAAAGGATGGTTCTGGAAGTGGAGAAAGGCCACACACACATTATCAGGAAGAGCAGTACATCAAACCAGACCACAGCCTGGTAGTGAGCTAGAAGCAGCAAGGAAGCATTCAGATGTAGAGAAAAAAAAGTTTTTAAACATTCATTAAACAATTTCTGCATGCATCTAAAACCAGTAGCACCACATGGATGATGCGAAAGTCTTCCATCCGCTGGAGCAGTGGCCAGGCTCTCTTCTCGCTTAGCTGTAAGGGTTTAGTGCCTATGAAGCCAATCCAAATCCTGAGAGGCAACTTCCCAAGCCTTTGCCATGCTGGCACCTGATGCTCAGGAGCTTTTCCTCTCAAAGCAGTCTTTCGCTTTTGCAACTCTGGTTGGAAATGCAGGAGCCCTGCTGGTTCATGTGTTAGCCTGAGATCATCTTTTGTGTTATATTCTTCTGAAAAACATGGCTTTTTGTAGCTGATTTTTTCAGTGAACAGCTTCTCCTTTGCTCCACCGTTTCAGGCTGCAGCTTTACTAGAGCTTCCTTTCTGGCCAAACTCAAAACATTTTGAATCATTCCACTGGGTCTTTGTTCATGGTTCTAAACCTGACTAAAAGGCTCAGCAGTATTTATGCCACCACCTAAACATTAGGTGTGAAACTTCTGTCAGATTAATTTGTGTGCCCCCCTTAACCTCAGTCTCAGACAAAGTCTCTAGATATGAGTAAAGGACCTGTGGAGATAGCTCAGCAGATTAATCACTTGCCTGGCAGGTGCAGGACCCTGAGTTCAATCCCCAGTACCACAAAAAAAATAAACAAAAATAAAAATAGATATGAATAAAGTATAGACAAAATTTTGCCAGTTATAACACACATTGTCTGGAGTCCAACACCCAATTCAATCCTTGAAGAAGGCTCTTGAGCCCAGTCTTACTGGCAGGATTTCTATCAGTCTTCTTATCTTCTGCGCTTGGACTCGCCCATCACGTACACCCAACGGCATTCCAGCTCCGCTCTTTCAGCCAGCATCTTCACATCTTTCCTAACTGCTCCCTGTCTACAGCCCACCCAGCTGCCAAAGCTCTTCAGCCACATGGCTAGGTAATGTCATGGCAGTGACCTCACATCGCGGATACCAAACTCTATCTTAGTTTTCTCATTGCTGAGACTAAAGACTCAACACCCAAAGTTAGAGGAGGAAAAAATATACTTGGCTCACCGGTAGTGGAGGTTTCCATCCATCAGCAAGAGGATCCAAGGCAGGTGTCATGGCAGGGCAGAAATAGATCATGGTGGGCAGAAGGTAGCAAAGCAACAAGGGACCACCACAGCTCTTTCTATCCCTTATATCCTATCGGGGCATTTAGGACAGATAGTGCTCACACTCTTAATCCCAGTGCTCTTGATTCTACCATTGCACCATGAATCAATACTAATCTCACACACTCTAGGTCCAACCACCTTTGAAATATCCCCATCTATGAACACTTGAGACTTTGGGGGAACATCTAAATACAAGAGTAACACAGATTTTTTTTTTCTTTTTCTTTTTGGTGGGAGGTCATAACTGTGATTTCCTGTTTTTCAGATGAAGTCTTTCTGGAAGTTTTAGCAGTTATATTGAATGTATTGACTAATTGGTATAATAAAAGATTACCTAATTATTTCCAAAACTGAGTTTTATATTAACATTACAAAAACCTTCATTTGACTGTATTATGTAGGAAACTTTATGTGCAAAATTGACAATAAATAATAATTTTGAAATAGAAAAGAGGGAAATGGTTTCTCCTTGGAAACTGTAGGCATAATCAGCTCAATAGAAGGACCAGAGACTTTGCACTTAGGATTATATGGTAGAAGGAGTTAATAAAAGAGCACTCAGCATGGAAGTGGGGATGGGAACGAAAGGACTGATTCAGTTTCATGTGTGGATCCAAGACAAAACTGTGGGTCAGCAGGGTGTTTGCATGTGCATCAATGCTACATAAAGGATACTAAGTGGATTGAGATTTAGAGTAGAAGAAGTAGTGACTCAAAGTTAGGCTCAAAGTACCAGAAGGCAGGAGTCCTGAGTAGGATGTTTTACTGCCATTCATATTTCTCTAGAAATAATCAAATGCCCAAGTGCACTTAGATTGTCAGAGTTGCCTCAGCCATGACAATCTTCGGTAGATTTTGGTAACAACAAATAAATGGAAAGCTCTTCGTCCACAGAATGGAATTTTAGGACTTTGCAAATGTGCTGTTCACATGGGACAGAACAAGTCCTGACATACCAAATATAATTACAAGAGCATGACCTCCTGAGAGTTAATCTTTCTTATTCTCCTTCTCAAACATTCCTGGATCTTGGGTTAAAGGGCTGGAAGCTGGACTACATACTTGCTTAAGGTGTGTGAATCATGAAGGCTGAAATTTTTCTGTGGTGACTTCTTGGGGCTTTTAGCTCACAGTGTGCCTTTATGCCCTTACACACTGCAGATCATTGCTCCTTTTCACCAGATGCTTCCTGAAGTGTTAACCGTTATGGACCTTCCACAAACTTCTCATGTACTTCTCAGAAAAAAGGCATGGAGAATAGGCTCAAGCCCAAAACATTTAACTGCGTGGGAAGGCTGCAGGAGACAAATAAGACTAGCTGATGAGTGTGACCCTGTAGTTTGAGAATATCTTGTATCAGCTGTCACATTTGACCTATAAATTTGTAGACACTGTGAGAATGTCAGATCTACATCTTCAGAACTGTGCAGGTCATGGTCAAGCAGAGTAATTTACTTAAAGCATTTTGTTTTCTTCCCTACATTGTTAAACATGTTTAATTGTTATTTGCTACCATGTTTTCATTCACTCATGAAGCTACAGTGCCTATTTATGTTGTTTGTGCTCTGGAATCCAATGCTAAATTCAGTGATCCAAGTATGGAGACTGTGTGTGAAAAAATTTATTGCCACTAACTTTTTTCATTAATATTAAAAAACAATAGGAAAAACCAAGTATTAGGCCTACTGGCAAATATATTATACAGTGTGTCCTATGTTTTAGCTGGAGCATTTTTCTCTCTTCATTGTGTATAATATATAAGGACTACTAAAGTCACATTTACAAATAACATATTTCATATGCCAATTCATCGAAATAAGTTTTCAGACAAATGTATTCTATAACATACATATGTGTGTGTCTATAGACAAATATATAACAATCAAAATATTTTCATTTTTTTCCTGAAGGTTATAAACTGGGATTTATCAAATATGTAATGAAAGATTTTGCCTTATTAAACATTTAAAGTTCCAAAGAGAAATATATATATATACATATATATATATATATATGTATATGAAAATGCCAAATACCAAATACTATATTTCTGAATAAATCTTTTCTCTTTTCTCTTTATTGTGATATACCCCAAAATAATTACCTCTCACTGAAAAGTTAGTCTTGATCACTATATTAGGAAATTTTCAGGATCAGATCCCTGTTTTATTTTTTAATTTATTTTTAATTTTTATGAGTTTATCTTTTTCTGCACATGCTGATTATATGCATTGTGTGGAGGTAGGGCACACACACAGCAACACATCTGAGTTCTTTTCACTTCTTCCCTTCCTCCTTTTCCTCTCAGTCCCCTCCATCTCATGATCTCCTCCCCATTTGCAGAAGGTCCATTTTCCTTTTTCATTATTTATCTTTTATTTTGCTCTTTAAATTATTTGTGCTTGTTAGGGTTGGTGGTACACACCTATGATCCCAGCATTCAGGAGCCTCAGGTAGCAGGATCACCATGAGCTCACGGCTGGCCCAAACTACCTAGTGAGACTCTTTTTCAGAAGCAAAAACAAAAAAATATATATACTTTGCATTTGTCATATAAGAGAAATCATGTAATATTTAAACATCTGTAGACTCCTTCTTTTCTACACACTGAATTTTGTGATTTTAAAGAATACTATGTTTACTTGATTTTATTTATAAAACTCAATTTTTTTCCTGTCTCCTGCTTTCACTCACTACTCTCCGCCCCCCTTATTTTAAACAAACATGTACTTGAGACGCACTATGGCAGCAATTGGTATGTCATGACAAACAGTACATATTAGAAGACCAGAGTGACAGGCATTCCAACTTACCATTACACATTGCTATCTTCAGTTCAGTTGCTTAGTTCACGGGTATCAGCATATATAGTTAGGGTGCAAATCCTACCAGTTAACTGCTAGTTTCAAAAACATGCTGCCAATCATTGCCTTGCCCATCTTGTGCATATAAATGTTTGACTTTGCCCCGTCATGTTTCCCAGGTTTCTTCCCTGCCCTCTCTTTGTTTTCTAATCCTCAAGTTCTCGCTTTCCTTTTAATTGTGTTATACTTTTCTATTTGTATTTCTTCTTTTGAGCTCTTATACTAGGGAGAGTATATGAATTTACATGTGTGGATCTGGTTTATTTCACTTATGAGTATATCTTCAAGTGGCACCCTCTTAAATATAAAGGCTTTGAGTTTGTCATTCTTTATAGCTGAGTAGTACTCCATTGTATAAAAATACCACATCTTTTCATCCTTTCCTCAGGTGAAGGGCATCTTGGATGTCTCCAAGATATGGCTATCAAAACTTGTGCTGCTATAAACATAAGTATGCATATGTCACTATGTTATGATATTTTCAGTTCCTCCAGGAAAAGTCCCAGTAGGGGGATAGCTGGTTTGAACGGAATTTCCAGTCCTGGTTTTTTAAGGAGGCTCCACACAGATTTCCATAATGGTTGCACCAGTCTACATTCCCACCAGCAGTGAAAAAAGGTTTCTTTTTCTCCATAGCCTCTCCAAACTACATTGCTATGTATGTTTGGATTTCTAAGTTTCTCTGTAAAAATATGTAACTGTTTATTCCTATTTTTAAATTTTTTTTAATTTTTTTCCTCATATTCTGTAGGGACTTAAAGTTTAACACATCAATACTTGATGGAAAATACCTGTTCCATGTTATGCCTAAGATGTTTGATATTCAAATAGTGAGGTTAAGCACAACTGCCTATGTTGTAGGGTTGTATAAGTAAGCTTCTCTTCTGGACGATTAACAACCTAAGTTCACAGACCAAATATTAGAGAAAAAGAAGGGCTGCAAGGACAGCCAACATTAAGCCCTAGCCTTTCAAGGTCAGTGAAGACTCAGGACATAGGAGAACCTATACAGTGACATCATGTAACTCAGTTGTGTCCCAAATTTCCTGATCAAGGAGATTATGGGGCCACAGAGGAAAGTGATCGATGATGTAGAGTGTGCCTAAGGAGAGTCACATGGAGAGAAAACACTCTCTCAGGCTTCCAGAAAGAGCAAATTGGTCAAGCAATGGCTGTGACTCATCCACATGGCTGACAAAAAGGCACTACAAACTGCAGTACAGGGCTTCAGAATAAATCCTTGAGGGAATTTGACTGACCTTATCAGATATAAGAGTTTCATTATTCATTATATAGGTCTTGGCCATTCAGCAGAAAAGTATAAAAATGAAGTATAAAAAGTAAAGCCATATTAATATGCCGAGCTGTAAAAGGTTCAAGTCAACAACTTTTTTTCTTTTTGGTGGAACTGGGGATTGAACTCAGGCCCCTGCACTTGCGAGGTAAGCATTTATTCCTCTGAGCCATCTCCCCAGCCAAGTGAATAATTTCTGTCGTTGTCAGTCTTATGGAAAACCCACTACTATTATGGACTACTGGACTATATTGGAATATTTTGCCGAATTCAGGCACCTACAATATTTAAATTATAGTGGAATACCCTTCTCTGACAAAACTAAACAAAAAAGGGGGATGCAAATGAATGACCATTTTGTATATGTAGGTTCAAAATAGTTAGGATAGATACACGGCTGCATTCTCTTGGATCATTGAATAGAGAGATTTGTTTTAATAATGCTTGTGGTACAGGATATCATGTCTGCATCTTATACAACGAATAACTACTAAGACAACACTATGCAACGTATTAATTATTGAAACTGTGCTACTAATCGGTTTTGAAACTGTCTCATTGCTATTTGTTTTTCAATAAAATTATTTTTTTAAAAACCTGAAAGCTTTTTTCTGATAAATTTATATAGAATTAAGTGGCTTTATGTGCCATAAGTTTTGGACACTTTATCTCAATCTAGTGAGATTTATGTGGTCATGTCCATATTCACCTTTTAACTCTTCAGCTTCATATACATAATTACCTATTTATATATGTGCATACACGCAAATAAAATGTGTGTATGTGTGTCAGTAAATATACATAGAGCATAAATTTAGTTTTATTTATGTATATAAAAAGTAAAAATGTGCATATTTAACACTAGTGATAGTGCAGTGTTTTTTTGAAAACTATTATAATTTGCATTTTAAAATATAGAAATTAACTGATAAATTAGTATCTTCTTTGCTCATCTATTTCTTCTTTGCTTGAATTCACACTGTAATTTCTGAAAATAGGATCATTTCTCTGATGACCAAGCCTAGAAATTATGAGCTGCCAATTTCTTAAATCTATTTGTCCCTAAATATGTGTGTTTCATAGTATTGAAATGTTGGTTCCTGTGCCAGGAAGAGGCCCTGACACTGCACGGTGGATCTGACAGGGAGATTCCAGGCCCGCATGTATGAAGAACCAAGTGCTGCAAGCGTACGACCAGTGGGGGGAAAATAGCAGCTATCTGTATTGGAGATAATGCAAAGACGAGCTCAAGGCAGAAACAGGAACAGAAAAGTAAATAAACAAAAATGTGGAGGCAGAATGGCAGGAAAATAAAAAGCACACAGTTGGCTGGGCTTCTGGATTTTAAAAGCTGTGCACCCCTTCCTCGGTGCCCATCGGAGGGACTCTGGATAAGGCAGACAGGAATGCCTGACAGGGCACTGGGGCACCTCAGTGGCTCTGACACCCCATGCCTCTCCCACTCTGATTAAATTATACGCATGGGTGCAGCCTGAAACTTTAGGGGTTTCCGGAGTTTGTTATTTTAGCTTTGCTTTTCTTAGACAATGGGATGAAAATTGGCTCCAGTTCAGGTGGGTGGAGGGAGAGGCGTCTCTCAGGCTCAACTGTACTACCAGTACTGACAGGAAAGTTAAGAGTGGAACTTTAAGTCACACGCGGAGTACGTTTCCTTAGACCTCTTCCTCTGAGTTTAATCTTCTATCTTGCAGCTCTGGCTGGGAGTTTGGCCTCAGGCAAGATCTTAACACGTAGAGAACTGAGGAGCTGGGCCATTTATCTGCAGTTAGGAAACAAAATTGTTTGGATGGAGTAACCTTTGGCATTTCAGAGATTTATGATAATATGAGCTGCGTTGTACGTTTGCCCAAGGAAAGCACTTGATTTTAGGGAGGGGAGAGCTCTGTTGCTAAATTTCTAGTTTGGTGGAGTGCGCTGTGGTGACGTTACTATAAGATTGATGGAGTGGAGGAGGGGGGATTGCAGTCTAGCCTTCCTGATAAACCTACAAGATTAGATGAGTCTAATGATCCTTGAAAGATTATAATAGAGACACATACAGAAAAAGTCAGCCTAAAAGATGAATATATTGAAGTTCGTGTGTTGTTTTAAATGTTAAAATGTTAAATGTTAAATGTTAAAATAATGTTTTACAGCAATGATTATTATTTACAGCAATGATTATTTTTAAAATATTCCACAATCCTACTATTGCCATCATCTCATCTACATTTTCTTCATTGCTTTCTTTATAATCTATATGGGGTTTTTTGTTTGTTTGTTTGTTTGTTTGTTTGTTTGTTTGTTTTTGAGACAGGGTCTTGCTATGGTATTCAGCCTGGCATTGAAGTGACAATGTAGCCCATTAAACTCATAGCAGCCTGTAGCGTTTCTTTGGTCTCTCAGTGTGGTCCATTGTACATGGGAAGAAACAGCAGCAGGAATAAAGAAAAGATAAACAAGAAGACAAGAACTGGGTTAGGTGGTGACTCCTCTGCTTGGTTGGCAAAATGACCCATTGAACAGTAGTAAGAGCATTTATTTATACTTTTACAAAGTTGCAAGACACAAGGTTACCTAGTGACTAATAGCCCACAACGTCCAGGCAGGACAGCAGTCCTCCTAGCTCAGCCTCCTGAGTACTGGGGTTACAGGTATGCATCATCACAACAAGCTATCTGTGTGTTTTTAACACTCTCTTTTTTTTATGTATGCAGCACAGGGTCTCACTATGCAGCTTGGGCTTGTAGTTGTCCTCCTCGGCACTGATTATAGGTGTACATCACCGTGGCTGGCTCAGCCACCCAGGGTCAGGGCCAGTGCTGCGTGTGGTGCTCGGAATACAATGCTGAGCCTTGCGCTTGCCTAAGCTGGCACTTAGGCCACTGAGCCATCTCATTGGTCCACCTCTACCTTACCTTGAATATCACAAAATCAAAGCCTGTAACTGAACACTCATGAGCATATTTGAAAAATTAGGAATTCAGCCTCAGTAACTCAGCTGCCTTATAGCATCTAAAAGAGAAGTAGGATTGTGTAAACCAGGATTCTACTGCAAATTAGCTCTGATAATAGGCACAATTTATGTTGAATGAATTCACTTTACCTATTTCTTTTCTTAAAACAGAAATTTTATAAAAGTGAAAATAATACAGGAGTAGTTTTATTTAAAAATTTGTAGCTGGGGAGATAGTCCAGTGGTCTGAGTGCCTGTCTGGCAAGAGAGCAAGGACCCGAGTTCAATCCCCAGACTGCATGCCGTGCTGGCCCTGGTACCCTAAGTGCACCATGACCCCAAAATTGGGCGTGGTAGCCCATGCCTGTAATCCCAGCGCTGGGAAGGCTGAGACAGGATGTTCACTATGAGTCCAAACTGCATAGCAAGACTGTATCAAACAAACAAACAAATATTTTAGAAAAAGAATTTGCAATCTATGACACTATATTTTCCAGATCTAACAAAACCACACGTAAAAGACTTCCTATAATTCTTTTAATTTCTTTCCATTTTAATTTCTTTCCCACAATTATATTTCATTTCTTCTTTTTAAAAGGGGGGAAGCAAAGGAAACAAAGGCAATAACAAAGCAACATAAAACAATAAAACAATAAAAATGGCACAGAATTTCAGAACAAGAATAAAAAATTAACAATGGTTGGTCATGTTATGTATTGCTATCTTCAATTTTTTTCCTCAGATTACCAGATACAAACATGCAAGATTGATCAAACAATTAAACATTAATTCTTCCTTTCAATAAACCTTAAGGTTTTTTCCTTGTTCTGTTTATTTTTTTAATTTATTTTAAAGAGTATAGAAATAAAACAATAGAGCAGATACACTTTTTTTAAACAAAGCAGGATGAAAGGTATTCAGTCATGGTTGTTATAGTACACATTGCTGTCTTCAGTGTAACTGCTCAAGTTATAGACATTAGCATATCAAGTTGGTCAAAGTAAAAGTTTTAAACATTAACTGCTACCCTAAAAAAAAAAAAAAACTGATAAAAATCAGTGGTACACTCAGCTATCCTGTGCATATACTTATCTGATTCTTCCCCTTCCTTTTTTCTACCTTTTCCCATTTTCCCCATCTCAGTTGTTTATACCTTATATTCAGTTTGTTTCAGAGAAAATAGACCATACTAATGAAAATTATTGACATTTTTCTTTCTAATGTGTGGTTTATGTAAGCACACATAAACGTACCTTTCTTCTGATTGCAGACAGCCGATGGATTTTCCTCACCCAGGAACTAATTTTTCAGAGGAGTATAAACCACAATTGCCACCAGTAGGATCCCAAGGTAAAATAAAAGATTTTTTTAAAAGTTAGTAAATTGATATTCACAAAAGAGAGAAAGAAATGTAGAGGAAGGGAATAGGTGTCTTAAATTTGGTAGCTCTTTTTCTTGATAATTTATTAAATAAATTTTGACAGTCTAGCTATTTCTAATTTTCTTTTGGAGTTTGTATTTTCCATAGAGGTAATCCTTTTAATTATGGAAGACAAGAAAAAATGTAAAGGAGAGCTAATAAAATCAATAGTGATTTTACATTAGCTAATTAAATACAAGGCTGTACATAAATTAAACCCCCAAATACAGAAAATAAGTAAAATATGTTACTGATCATTTCTATTTTCTGAAAAATCTGATCATGTAATGATATTTAGGAGATTTATCTCTGTGTGTTTTTTAATCATGTGGTACTTGGCATTTGTTTTGTTCAATTAGTGTAAAAGAGCAGTCAGTAGACTACTTAAAACTAAAAGCTGATAACTGGAGAAATATTAGCCATCCCAGGCACAGTGGCACACACCTGTAATCCCAGCACTCAGGAGGCTGAGGCAGGATGATTTCCTTGAGTTCAAGGACTAACTGGAACTACAGAGCAAGACTCTGTCGCAAAGAGCCAGAGAGAGGGAGAGAGAGAGAGAGAGAGAGAGAGAGAGAGAGAGAGAGAGAGAGAGATTACATTGAAATAATTCAGTTTTAATTTGTAACAATATGAAAGCTTTATTTCCTCTTGTTAATTCATGCTTTGCATTTTTAAGAAAAATAATTGAGTCATATCACTACATAGTAAGGAATACAGAGTCACAAAATGATTCAGAGGTTGTCATTTAGGCAGATGCAGTTATTGATAATGATAGACATTTAGAAGTGGCAAAGTTGGGGCCGGGGAGATGGCTCAGTGGAATAAGCCCTTCCCTGGCAAGCGCAAGGGCCTGAGTTCAATCCCCAGTTCTGAAAAAAAAAAAAAAAAAAAGAAGTGCCAAAGTTCATAGTGTGTGCAGATTTACAAGTATGCAGAATACCCACCCCTTGGAAGACACTCAGGGGATTCAGGATCAAAGGTGATCTAGTTTGCATAGAAATATATATATACATTCTGTTTTCTTCTCAGAGAAACAAATGTTCTTGGCAGCTGAATGGTCTGTTTCAGTGTCCTTAGAAATCTTCAAGTGGGCCCTAGATAGCTTATTCAGATGTTCGCTATTAAAATAATATGAGCTAGACAAGCACGAAGCTCTAAGGCTTAGATAAGGACGAAGGTCAACCATGGCTTCCCTTCAACATCATCCAGAAACATACTAGCACCAGAGCACCATCCCAAGAAAATTAAACCAGACCTCTGAACTCAAGGACTGATACTTCTTCATATTATAAGCGCTTTGAATATGAAGTCAAGATTGGGAATTTGTGTTTTAAATTTTTGTAGGGTTTTTGTTTGAAGAATTATTTAAAAGACTAAGATATTGCCAGAGATGTAGCTCAGCAGCATAAGCACCACTATATAGCTAACTGAAACGAGATATAAATATTAAATTCAGGTATAACTAGACTTGAGAGTTTGTAAGAAAAATAGTTTTTGTTTGTTTGAGTTCTAAAGACCAAGGCTGCATGTATTGCAAGCCTTGAAATGACAATATTGAAAATAATTTTAGCGAAAAACTAAGAGCTCACTGTGCCATAGGCATTATTCTGAAATTCATGGGGGTTAGCTCATTTAATCTCAGGACATTCTTAGGAGGTAAATACTGACAGTTTCCTGAATTTATGTCTTCACAGTCAACCAACTGTAGAATGAAAATATTCAAGTTTTAAATTTCATCTTTAATGAATATGTATGGATCATTTCCTTGTCATTATTCAGCTATTTACATATGTATTAGGTATAGTAAGTCACCTAGAAATGACTAAAAGTATGTAGAAGGATGTAAAACAGGTGGCGAAACAATCCCATGTGTGTTGAGAACCATTATACTATTAACTAACCCCTTATTCATCATGAATAACTAAGGCTTAGAGATTTTGGGCAAGGTTTCCAGTTCTTCATTCTGTTCCTACTAGTTGTGCGATGCTTCTTAAGGACTGAATTATCAATCCTTGAGTTCAGAGGTCTGGTTTAATTTTCCTGGGATGGTGCTCTGGTGCTAGTATGTTTCTGGATGATATTTAAGAGAAACCATGTTTGTTGACCTTAGTCCTTATCTACACCTTAGAGCTTCATGCTGATCTAGCTCGTACTATTTTTTTTTTTTTTCAGAGCCATGGATTGAACTCAGGGCCTTGTGCTTGCCAGGGAAGCGCTTATTCCACTGAGCCATCTCCCCAGCCCCCAGACTATTTTAATAGCGAACATCTGAATAAGATATCTAGGACCTACTTGATGATTTCTAAGGACAATGAAACAGACCATTCAGCTGCCAAGAAAATTTGTTTCTCTAAGAGAACAGAATGGATACATATTTCTATGCAAACTAGATCACCTTCAATCCTGATATTATGGCCCTGGCCAATTTCAAAACTTGTAGGCACCCAGGTTTGTCATGAAACCAGAACTTGGCCTTAAATGTTCTTTGCCTTTGGCTAATTTAACTCTCTTGTGTCCTTTAGATCTTACATGAAAGGTGACACTTCAGAGAAGCTCTTCCTACTCTCCCTTCCCTTTCCTGTGTTAGTAAGCATTTGGTCTTTGTGATGAAACACCTAAGAAAGTAAACTTACGGTACAAAAGATCTGTTCTGGCTCACAGTTTTAGGCTTTTGTTCCCTGGCTCTCTTTTCTCATGCTTGAGAGAAGCTAAAACATCACAGCGACAGGACCATGGCAGAGGAGTCACTCATATCATGGTAACTAGGAAGTAATGAAAGTCAGGAGCAAAGAACAAAGTAGTATCCTGGTAAGTTACATCTCTAGTGACTCATTTCCACCAGATGGGCCCCCATGTTAACTACACTTAACCGCTCAATAATATCCATTAGTTATTGCAGACAAATCAAGCCCACAATCAACTAAACAAGTATGCAGTGAAGGCTTAAACAAATGAGTCTAGTGGCATGAGTTTAGGACTCCAGGAGGATCAAAACCCTCTAACAGAATTCAAGATTCTCTGGGGGCTAAGATAAATAACTTCTCAGGGCATCCTGTATTTGTTTGGCTTTCAAATAGAGGAGGGATAGACTGAATAAAATGCAGGAATCTGAGAGAAATGTAGCAGGACCTTGGGAGATATTTTCCAAGTAACAAATTTTGTGAAGCAGAACTACCTTAGCTCTAGGTTGACATTTACTGTAAGAAGAGGGAGCCTGTAACTTCAGTCTCCTTTTAGTTAATTGGAGTTGGAGCCCAGTGCCCTCAGCTGTGGCCTTATCTGTCACAGTTTTACAGGCCAGGACAGGCCTCAGTGCAGACCAGTGACTCATACAGGTTCACTTGCTATGAATCTGCTGTCTATCTCCAGACAAGGGGCCTAGGCCTTGAGCAACTCACAAGTAAGCATGAAAAGCCAGTTGGATACTAAGTCCTGCTCAGAGCTGCTTTGTAGTGGTCTCCATCTCACCTTTTCAGCTCATGAATGACTTGATTTATTGATGTGGTTAGTGCCTTCATGATCCAGTTGCCTTCCCAGGAGCATCTGAAACTTTTGGGGGATAATTTCTTCATCACAACTGTAACACTTTCCCTCTTCCCATCTCAGTAGCTACTCCTGGCAATATGCCTTCATAAAACTTCAGTCCCTTCCTTCAAAGCATTTGACCCTCTAACTCTAATTAGTAAATCTCACTAGTTGCTATGGTCCTCCCTAGAATAAAGATGAATATAGAGTGGTCTCTCCTACTAGGTAATGAGCATTGGAATTGCCTCTATGTTTCTTATTGTAAATCCTAATGTTCAAAACTGCTAAAAATCTTCATGAGATACAAGTGACTTTACAGAACTCCTCTTCTCCTCAGACCCTCCAACACCTGCCTCTTAGACTAAGGACCTACAAGATTAACTGCTATTATGGTTTATGTCTAGTTGTCCCCCCTAAAAGCCACATGCAGTCATGGGGCAGGGATTTCTAGATTTGAGATTAACTCATGATCCACTGGGATTATGGGTCTTAATACTTCTGAGATTATGGGTATGAGTACTTCCCCCAGCCTGGGGTGAATAGCCTGAATGCAATTGAAGAGAGACAGATTTGCTCTCTGTTGCCATTGTTGCTGCTACTCCTCCGCTTTGCTCTCTTGCTCCTTGCTGCTGCCATGAAAGGATGCTCTGTGCCCCGTGCCACTCTGCCTTGGAGCTGAGTATGGACTGAAACCTCCAGTAACTGTGAGCTAAATAAACCTTGCCTTCCTTCATTTTGAGTGTTGGGTATTCATCCCAGCAACGAGAGAAGGGTAACTGAGACAACTGCTTTCTGTTACTTGGCCAACAGCTGCTCCTAATCTTCCTGCTCCTCTCTGTTCCTTAACATGCTGAATTCGTTTCCCAAGTCAGAGCTCTTACAGTTGCTTTTCTTTATTCCTGTAGTGTTTTTCACCAGATTTGACATAAGTTGTTCCTTATCATCTTGTAGAATTTAGCTTTAGTTATATCTATCTGAAATGGTTGCCTCCCGTCCAGTCCTCTCCTCCATGCATTTTCTTCATCACATCAGTATAAAATGTTTTTGTTTTTTGTTTCCCAGAATTTAGTCACAAACCCAGAGAGAGCAGCCTCCCTTGTTAAAAGCTGTATCCTCTAATTCTACAAAGGAGCCACTGATGTATTTATCACTTACGAGTATTTATTCACTGTGGAAGGACTACAGTATAAAAGCTATATTTAAGAGCCTAAGTGTGAAGTTTAGCCTGTTGTTAGCCTTAGTTTTCAATGGTTATAAATTTTGTTACCTAAGTATTTATAGCCTATTCTAAATGTTGTTTTTCATTGTTTTTAATGTTAAATGTTTTAATGTAATCCTTTAAATGTATTTCATGCATATGGGATTACTACTCTGTGAATAAGCTTATAAAATGTTTTTATAATTACACACAGAGAATATACACTGTGGATTTATTAAATTTCTCCTCTATTTTACTTATTACCTAGCTAGCTTCTTACAACTCTTGCCTTCATTGTTCCTCAGACAGTATTTTCCAAAGAGCATAGGGTGCTATGTTGTAAAACTTAAATTTGTAACCTCAATATCAGTTTGGGTTTTAATGGATTAGAGGCATAGGAGAGTAATATAGCATGGATTGAAGCTCCCGATATGCCGGGAGCAGCGGTCTACACCTATAATACCAGCATCTCAAGAAAATGGTGCACAAAGATCAGCAGTTCAAGGTGAGCCTGGGAATTTAGTAAGACCCTGTCCCAAAATACCCAAATAAAAAATAAAAGGACTGAGGGTATAGTTCAATGATAGAATGCTCCTAGATTTAATGCTCAATTATATGAAAAGAACAGAAGAGAAAAAGTCCAAGCAAATTATTAATCCAGATAAGTACTTCAAATATATGAGAAGAAAAAAGCATGCCTTTACTTCTATGCCAGGGCTTCTCAACAGTAACACCATAATACTTGAGGTTTGAAAATTCTTTCTTTTCAGGGAACAGTTTTGAGCATTCTAGGATGTTTGGCAGTATCCTTGGCTTTTCCTCACCACATGTCAGAACCACTGTTTGCTATAGTTCTAATGAACAAAAATATCTCTAAATTTATCTAAATATCCCTTCTATAGAGAAGGAAAAGAAATCACTTCCAGGTCCACACATATAGGAAATACCATTTGTTATAATTCCCCAAATTATCATAAGTGTGGGGCCCTTTGGTCTTTGAAATACTGACTCAAAGCCTTTAGTTGGCATCTTTTACCCAGTGCCGCTTCTCTTGTTTTGATGTAATCATGCCCGGATGCTTATATTTTTGATGTCAAGCAATACAGTACTTTCTTAATTATGAAATTATATTTTTTCCATTTAAATTCTGAGAAAGGGAAAGAGAGTTATGTGCTACCTCTATTCACAGCTATCATCCTTAAAATAGAAGTGTAAAGTGAACAGATCCATTGTATTAAAAAGTCTCTGGAACATAAACATATATATTAAATGCCACCGATACAGGCTTTCCAAATACAGAGGTCAATTTGAGCATGGCTGTGCTAATCCCAGATGAGGTGAGGATTCCTATTCTGTGTAGTTACGTTGTTTTACTTGTTCCTATTCCAGAACCTCCAGGTCAACCTGTATATCCTGGCCCCCCAGGGGGTTATCTGGGTCCCCAGGCTGGCTACCCTGGGCCCAACAGTCCTTACCCAGGTCCCTACCCAGGACCCCCAATACCACCAGGCAGCTCTGCAGGTGCTGTCCAACCCGGGTTTCCCATACAGAGTCAGCCAGTATATGGACCTGCAGCGGTACCGTGGATGCCAGCACCACCCGTTCCACTGAACTGCCCACCTGGACTGGAATACTTAAGTCAGGTAATTACAAAGGTATGCAAACTTATGAAAGTCACAACTGGGCACCTAGTTTACTTAAACAAAGAAATGATTTAAGAAAATCTGAAATGGTGTTTCCTGCTAACAGGTTACTCTTAGTTTTTCTAGGTCAGTTTCACTTTCTAAGCAAATATAAATGAGGTAGTTATATTTTTGTGTGATCGTGACTAAACCCTGTGCTAGTAGCCAATAGAAAAATACTTATTAAGCAGTCATTCTAGGGGAGTTGATGATAGTAAGCAGTATGTTGCAGTCTTTGCTGTGAGCATAGTACGTGTATTATCTTGCTTAATCTTTACCAAAAAAAAAGCCCCAAAAAACTCATGTATTTGTGCTATAATTATCATTTTTCAGAAGAGGATACTGAGCCTTGAGGAAGTTACTCACCTTGGTCAGAATTAGAAACTTAAGGCAGTAAGGGTATCTTTTTAATCTCCTCCCTTGTACTGAAGCCAGTACCCTTTTATCTCAACACTGAATAGCTTTTGGAAACTGGAAAAGACCATTGAACAAAGCTTATTCCTCAGTTTCAATAATGAAAACCACACAAAGAGTTGACATAGTGTGCATAATGACTTACCTTTTTATAACTAATAAAACTTTGCTTATGATGTTATACTTGTTCCTTGGAATATCTAGTTTTATAAATATAATTACAGGAGAAGGGAGGAAATAAATGGGATTTTACTCTACAACAGGATAATGACTTTTGGCATTTGAGGTTTAACATTTATTTGGTGTGTGAAAGCAGAGAGGTAAGTAGGAGTGTGTCTGAGTATCAAACATCTCAGACATAACATGAAACAGGTTTTTTCCATCAATCATTGATATGCTAAACTTTAAACCAAAAAAAAAGGGAAAAAAAAAGTTCAAAAAATAAAAAATGGTAAAAAGAAGATATAAACAATTACAACTTTTTACACAGAAATTTAGAAATCAAGAGCCGGGGAGATGGCTCAGTGGAATAAGCGCTTCCCTGGCAAGCACAAGAGCCTAAGTTCAATCCCCAGTTCTGCCAAAAAAAAAAAAGAAAGAAAGAAAGAAAAGAAAAGAAATTTAGAAATCTAACCATATACAACATTGTAGCAGGACAGTCTTATGACATTTTTTTTTCTTGTCTCTTGTTTTCAATTTATAATCTCTTTTTTCAAACAAAGACTTACTTGAAAGAGAATATAGCAGTAATTAAAATGACACATATTGGATTACTTTGCTGAATTCATGCACCTACAATATATGAATGGCAATGGAATGCCCATCTCTGACAAAAGTAAACAAAAAGGCTCTATAAATGAAGGACAATTTTGTAGTGAAAAAATATACATATATACCTGTATGTACAAAATAGTTAGCATAGATATACAGCTACTTCTCTTAGTTCAATGAGAAGAAAATTTTGAACTAATAGTGTTTAGGTAAGATATCATGTCCGCATCTTGTACTATGAATAACTACTACAAAGACAATATGCAGTGTATTAATTATTGTAACTGTCCTAATAACCTGTTTTGAAACTGTCTCATTGCTGCTTCTTTCTCAATAAAATTAGTATAAAAAAAGAGTTATGAAGTTCTATAAACAAAAATTTTTATGATATCCAACCAATATCTAGTAAGTCTGATGTATCTCTGGCACAGGCTATTGATATAATTTTCCACAAGGCACTCAAGCAGGATACACAAAAAAATATTAGTCATAAATACATTCTTGAAAAAATATTCTGAAATACACAATTTCAAAATTAGGATCTCATAAAATAGAGGAAATTATCATCTATTACAATTGCTGAAGCCAAGTACACTTGAAATTGGAAACTTATGATAGTAATCTTTTTAATTGAATAAAAAAAAAGTGCTGATCATTTCTTGAGACTCTTCTAGAAGGAATATTGTTTTAGGAATTCCAATATGAATTGGTTTTATTTGATGTAAAGCTTCTCACCTTAAATGAAAAATTTCAACACATATTTCACCTATTTAAAGTTAGTTTTACACTGTCATATAAATTTAAATATTGGTAGTGGTAATATTGATCATTACAAGTGCTTAATTTTCTTTTTGTTTTAATAGATAGATCAGATTCTGGTGCACCAGCAAATTGAACTTCTGGAAGGTATGCATTCATTGGATTAGTCGTATTTCTAGAAAAAGAAATTTATGCAAAACAAGGCGTCTCAGTCACCACAGTGTAACACTGTAGCTCATCTGGGACAGTTAACCAGGTTACTTACTAATGTCTGTCTTCACAGGAACACAAATGTACACCTCATCAACAATTTACTTTTGAAAATGAAGAATCAAATGTTAAAATACTTATTTTACTGCACGCCTCCTTTCACGATACTGACATTAGGTTAGAAGGAAGACAATTGACGCTTTTTCTTTCCTCCTTCTCTCCAAACCAAGTTATTCTATCATTGTACCGCATTACTACCAGCTGTGGACTTGTCATCTGACATCACCTTGGAAATTGCACAGAACTGCCTGCAAAAGTTTAGCCACCTTAGTGAATTTCCAGGGTGATTGAGCTTTCTTGATTCAGATGGAATGATCTAGAAAGTTCTCTGTGCTCACAGTTTCTCCTGGGTCTTCAGGAGAGTCCTGTGCCAGATGCAGGGGCCCTGTAGTGCTGCAGGATGCTGAGCACCAGACTGGAGCCTTCCTTCCTGCAAGAGCAGCCCTGCTCTTCTAGACGAGGCTAGGGTGGCCAGATGTCTCCTTGGGGTCAGTGTTTATCAGGCGCAAGAACAGATTTAGGAGACCAGTAGTTGCTTCAGGAAGCTGACAGGGAGTGAGACCTAGAAGGGCCTAGGAATGATAATGTCTTCTTCTTGGATGTAAGTGTGCACTGTAAACTGCTGGTTTGTAGACTATTTGTTAAGTCTGTCTTATTTGCAACAATCCTTCCACTGCTACAAATTAGAACAAGAATTGTATAAGAGGAAAAATGGAATTTTATTAAATTATAACATTGTCTCCTATTACATTTAAACTATTCATAATGCAAATTGTTGGATATATATAATATATATATAGTTTTTATTTTGTTCAGTGTCTCTAAACTAACATTTTTCTGAAATATAGTTCTTTGCATGATTATCTGCATTTTGAAATGTAGTTTATTCTGCAATATATGCTATCTATTTTATAAAATTCAAATAAGCAGATACCATGTATTATGTGACACATTACATATTCCTTTGTAGAATTATAGACATATAGATTTATAGACATATAAAGAGTGATAATAATTTTTGAAATAGATGACTTGATCAAGAAATATCTAGTAATTTTAAAATTTACTGTTTAATTTGAAGTTTCTTAAAAAGATGCCCTATATGGTTTTTTGCCCCAAATTGAGTCTATATTATTTTTTTCATGTTATAAATCATATAAGGAAGATGAAGATTACTATTTTTATACTATCCGTGCAATAGCAAGCACTTACATTTTTCTCAATTCTATTCTTAATAGACCTAAACATAAACATAAGACTCTTTTGTTTTATTTTCACCTTTTAAAGTAACCAGAAACATTATAGAAAGCCATGTTGTTTTAAAATTAAACAAGGCAAAATTTTCTGTATTATGCTACTTAATGACACAATTGTTAGATAATAGATACACAGATACATGTTGTTTTTGTTTTTGTTTTTGTTTTTGTTTTTCTCTCACCAATCTTTTGACTTTAAGAGGTGTTGAGCTCAAGGGTCATTCTTATTATATGCAGAGGGTCTAGATAAATCCTACCAAAGACACTGAAAGGAATTCATATTGATCAGACTTCTGAAAGATAATTATACCAAATTAAAATTACTCACACACACACATTAGTGTGAAGTTTGAGCCTCTACATATTTCTTTTTCTTTCTTTCTTTTTTTTTTTTTATTTAGGACTACGTGGATCGGACTTGTAGTGATTCTCCTGTTTCCAGCCCCCCCCCCCCACCAAGAGCTGGGATTACAGGCAGGCGCCACCACTCCCAGTCTTAATCGCTGGCTCAGTGCACCCCAGGGTCGCAGCCGGCGCTGCCCACCGGGGATCTTACCCGGGCCCTGTACTCTGCCTAAGCAGGCACTTTAGTCCGCTGAGCTACCAGGCCGGCCCTTTACATATTTCTTTTAAATATGCCATGGCCCCAATATCTGAGGAAAATGGCCAAGTGGGAACATTAATTGCTCCTTTCTGCCTCTGAGAACGGAAACTTTTCCAAGGTGTCAATTCCTACAGGAAACTTGGATAAGATACTTAACATCCCTCCATTTTCTTCACACGTGAGATGAATCCCCAGAGTATGCAGCAATCTCTCCAAGGTTTCCGATGGTCTGTGCAGCCTGTGAGTCAGAGCCTCATGGGTGCATCTCCTTGCTCCCTGCTGCCTAGTACCCACTGCTCACTTCCCACCAGTGGTGAGCTGAGATCAAGGGTGTCCTGGGCACAATGTGGGGTCCTACCCTTCTGATTTTTTTCCCTTTTCCCTTTACACGTATGCATTGGGTGGGAAGAAACCCTCATACTTGTCCTCAAAGGTGGTTCAAAAAGTCAGACTATGATTTCTAAAATGTCTCAAGCCAATTTCTTCAGTACAGTATTGCTACCCTATAGCATCTTTATAACATGTTAAAACTGTACCATGAGAATGAACGTTTTATAGCCCATCGGCACCGCTCTGCCCCTCTATGCCATTATACCGGTCTTGGGTAAGGAGGAGAAAAGTTCTCCTTTGCAACAATGTTGCGTTTAAGAGATACAACTCACTTTCACGAGAATTTATTTCTTTATCTCATTTTGACTTTTTTCTTATTTATCACTTCTTTAAAAAATACCATTTATTTGCCTCTTTCTTGTAATGCTTGGAGTATCATCCAAAGCTGTTATAGCTAGATGTTATAATACCGCGGGAAAAATTAGCTATTTTTAACCAAAAAATGGTAATTACAGATTCCTCTTTTATATTTTCAGTCTTAACAGGCATTGAAACCAATAACAAATATGAAATTAAGAACAGCCTCGGACAGAGGGTTTACTTTGCAGCGGAAGACAATGATTTTGGCACCCTAAATTTCGGTGGACCAAGTAGGCCTTTTACCTTGAGAATTCTTGATAACATGGGCCGAGAGGTCGTAACTATGGTGAGGCCACTGAGATGTGACTGCTGTTGTTGTCCCTGCTGCCTTCAGGAGGTCAGTGTGCAGTTTCTAAAGTAGTTTAACACCAGTCACCCTTTTGCTGAATGTAAGCTTTACCACTATTGTTATATCTATTTATGCTCATTGCTATTGTAGATAGAAATCCAAGCTCCCCCTGGTGTTCCAGTTGGTTATGTTTCTCAGAAGTGGCACCCCTGTCTGCCTAAATTTACTGTTCAAAATGAGAGAAGAGAGGATGTATTAAAAATAAATGGCCCATGTATTTCGTGCAGTTGTTATTCGGATATTGATTTTGAGGTAAGAGATCATTTGTTTCTTATTATCCAAAAAGCGTAATTTTATAGGGTGTTACCAATATACCAAGCATTTTTCCAAGATGGATAATGTGCTCAAGTATTTAACTGTAGTCAATTTTATGGTTACTAATCTGATTAAAGTTTGGTATTAATTACACTAAATGGAAAAAAATTGAAAACTATGAAGTCATAGATTTTTAAAAATCTAGAATTTAAACAAACTCCTAGCAACACTACATATTATCAGCCCTCAGAAGGTTGAAGCAGGAAGATCTCAAACAGAAGGTTGGTGAAGTCTACGAACCAACATTTCGTAGAAATAAAAAATAATATAAAAATGAACAATGTAGAATTGCCAGCCTTGTTACCTAAGTCTGCTTCATGGATCCGTCCTTACCCTGCATGATAGGTGGTGATCCAGACCACGTCCAGGTTTGATTGCTTTAGTCCCTACAAAGAGAACAATTACACAAAGATTGTTTTAATAAGGCTAATACAAAGTACTCTTTTCCATGATTGCACTTTTCATAGCTTGAATTCACCACATTCAACTCTATTCTGAAAACATTAAATAGAATTTTCCAGAGCTAAATGATTTACCATCTTAATCTGCATGCCATGCTGAGTAATGTAACAGAATCCAGGGACCTGTCCTCCTCCATACAGCCTGGACGAAGTCCCCTCTTTCCAGAGTACTGTCACTGTATGAGGTGCCTGCGCATTAATTTAAGCACTCAGTCCATCCTTGGTCACTGCTCTTGGCATCTTCCTGCTTGTGCCCAGGTGACCCCTACTGCACACCTACACTGTGTCACCTCGCTTCCATCAGTTGCCTCCCTTCACCTCCATCAGGCCAGGGTGTCATCTCACCACATCAGAAGGTGGAGCAGTACCCTAACATTAAGATATTTGGAGAGAGAGAAGACAGTGTCTATGTTCACATAATTTTTTATCATACTGTTATATTTTCCTATGTAATGATTACTAATTATTGCTAATCTCTTCCTGTCCTTAATTGAGAGAGAAAGGCATAGAATTCTGCAGTATCTTTGACTTCAGGTGCCTAGGCCCCCCACAGCCTAAAGAGACTACTGTGTAATACATAAAGCCCAGTCATGGTTTGCTGTCATCTGCATTTCATCCTTGTATTACATTAAGTCACTGAAAGCTACAGTGTATTTGTGTATTTACTACATGCGATAATTTCATTACAATGAATGATCTAAACAAGTGGTAGGGAATGGATGGCACACGTGTTTTCTTTTAAGATAAAAAGTATTAATCTATGAGTTGTTTTTTCTCAACTAAAACCTCAGTGTTGAGGTTTCATTGTAGTCTTGTCACCATATGATAAATAAGGGGATTCAGGGTTGCAGTTTCACATCCAGCTCTAAAAGTTTCGTCATCACTGATCTAGACACATAACCAAGTTTCTTAGTTGTAAATATGGGGAAATTTTGCAAATTAATCTCTATTGCTTTTTTTCTCCTATAAAGTCAGAAAATATGGTAAACTGAACCCACCTTTCCAGAGAACAAGAGTATCCTAGAGCCCAGAAGGGTTACTGCCTATGGCCATCTTGTGGCCATGTTAACAACTATTCACGTTCATTGTGTTAGTTTATTTCAGATGGTTGCAAATTCTATGTTGATACTAGTCCTCATATGCTAGTGACAGAAATTGGAAATTTATGAGAATATATGTGCAGTAGAGATGCGTGTGTAGCTACAAACCCTTTATAGAAGAGTTTGCATAGTAATACTTTTCTGTGTAAAGAATGGTATTTCTAGTATAGAGCCAAAGAAGTGAAAAAGTAATTGCTTTCCATAGTTCCTTTAAGGAACAATGTTAATGCAATAACCATATATTTTACTTTTAAGAAATAAGTGAAAGAATTGTGTAATGCATTGTGAAATTTTACATTTAATACTATGAAGTTAGATTTCATCAGGAAGCTTCTCTAAATGAATGCCTTAGCATCTGTTATGGCCCTAAAATGTCCTTCAAAAGTCTGATGTGTACAGAGCTGTGGATTGAAGAATGCAGTTGATTAACCAGCTGCAATCATCATCAGTGATTAATCCTTTGATATGTTCCTGGTTGAATGTGCTGCTAGAAGCCAGACCCATCTGGAGGATACTCTTATAGAGAATGGGTCACTGGAGATTTCCATAGTATCGAGGGCTCATCTGTGTTTGGATTTCACTGCTTTCTCTGCTTTGGGCTGCCGTGTATTGAGCAGCTCTTCTCTGCCAGGTTGTTCAGTGATGACATTTCAACGTTGGAGCCAGTTCATTGTCAACATACCCTCTAAAACCATGAACCAAGTTAAACCTCTGCAATACATCCTTATTTATGTAATGATTAATACCTTTCCTAAGCATTTGAATGGATGGTATCTAGGTACCATCTTTGACAGACATGATAAGACTTACATGATTCATTTTCTGTAGGGTTTATGATGGGAAGGTTCACATTTTAATCCATAAAATGACAGTATGAGGGACTGTCAGTGGGCATGAGAACTTCTAGGAAAAGATGATATAAAAGCTTGAACTACAGAAGGTGAAGAAATGACTTGAAACAGAAATAATGGCAGAGATATGTCATGTGTACTCAGTGAGACTGAAGCATGCACTTTGTGTCAATTGAAGATATCATAATGCCATATGTTTCAGAAGCTAAATAAGTGATGACACGTTTGGTTAACTTAAGCATGGAGGGTTCAACAGCTGGTATTTTGGGAGAGTAAGAATTTGTATTTAGATCACACTGAATCTTGGTTATGGAATGAAAACTTGAGAAATTCTCATTACATGGATGAGAGTTGAGGTCATGACACGATTTCCCCAAGAAAGAACAGGAGCTACCCAGGTAGACTCATGTAGATGGCAAAAGCATGATTTTTTTCCAGGAATTTGGGTAGGTAATAATTAATGCTGATACCCTAAAGCAGTCTCATCTATGAACCTGAAGTCTTCATTGATAGTATTATTATGATGATACATTACTTAAAGGTTATGATGTGATCATAGCCTTACAGATATACTAAGTAGCTCATGAGGAAATCAATACAGTATCTTATCAGCAATCATACTTTCTATTTCACAGTACAACTTGTTCTATTCCTTTGATGTGTAGCTACTTTATTTGTACTATTGTATTTCAGTTTTGGCAATCATATTTAAAATTGTGAGATGCATCTAAGAATTTCTTTCCAGCATATTATTTACTAATTATTGTTGTTAAATTATTACACTTATGGATGAAAATATGCAACATTAAGGGCTGGAGGTGTCCTCCAGTGGTAGAAGGCTGGCTGAACATACTCAGGCCCTGAGTTCATTCCCTAGTAGTGGGAAAAATATTAATATATCATCATTCGGATTTCCAAAGGTTGAAATTTTATTACTGTGATCCTATTTTAAAAATGTATTCAGAATTCACCTAAAATTTTGTATACTTAATGAATTTTGAACTATCGATCATTAATCCTATTTCTGAACTGTGCCACAAAAATTATATGGCCTGTGTCTGAAACAAATTTTGGTAAAACTTTGTTTTTGGAGTTAGTAAACAAAAATGGAAGTATTAATATATTTATCAATATGTATTTGGGAGTTGCTGGTAGCTGGCAGGTTGTCACCTGAAGCTTTCATTTTGAAAACTATTTCAAAATTAAAAGATGAAATGTAGAGTTTCCTTATATTTCAGAATTTTGAAGATCACATCCATCTCTACTCAGATGAAATGGGTCATTTTTAAATTTTCCCACATTTATTTAGTAGGTTGACCTGAAGCAAAGGGTTCAAAAGGTGTTCCTGGCTGTCTGGTGCTTCGTGCACATTTGAAAAGGACTTGCCTTTCCTCCTCACACCACGCTAAGGCTGCCTTGCGTGGCGACTGCCAAACACACTCAGCTTCTGCGTGCTCACTGGAGGGGCAGCTTCACTGTGGGCACAGTTTGCTCGGCTCTTTACTTGGCCTTGTATTTTCCACAGGCAGAACTGTAAATGAACTCTTTTGCATGCATCTTTCTTATTTTATTATTCACAATCCACTCGCTATCAGGTCTTACCCTAAGCAGTGACCAGGGGCAATCACTCAAGTTGCTTAGTGGTTACTTCCTTCAATCAAAGCTGACAATATTCTTTTCCAAGCTGTTAACCTTTCCTGTGTCCCTTCCCTTAGTGAGTGGAGATGGGCCCTCCATCATGTTTAAACCTGTAGCCTCTATAAGCTACCTGTGTTCCTCCTTAAGCAGAAAACTAATTTTTACCTTTTCTTAAATTTTACTCTGGATCAATTCAAATAATTTGTTACCCCCAATGTAAAATAGAAAATGTTACATATTGTTAAAAAGCTAATTTCTATCACTTATGTAGGGAGTGAAGCAGTTTTGGAAGCAGAGATTATTAGTCCTAGATATATGTGGGCATGATTGAATACAATATTTCCCATCAGTCATGGTAGTAACTTTGGCATAACTTTTCTACAAACCTTTATTGGTTTTCTGATATAGATTAAATCTCTTGATGAACAGTCCGTGGTTGGCAAGATTTCCAGGCAGTGGGGCGGCATGGTAAGAGCGGCATTCACAGACGCCGACAACTTCGGAATCCAGTTTCCTTTAGACCTGGATGTGAAGATGAAAACCGTGATGCTTGGGGCCTGCTTCCTCATCGTAAGGCCGTGCTCAGTCCTCTTGGTCGCGCATTGTTTCTCTGCTGTCATTCTCAGACAGTTCAACATGTTGTGCACTTCAGAATGATCTTTCTAAATTAGTAGGTTTTATAGAAACATTCCCTTGTAATACCAGCTCTGAAATTCCATTTGATTCTGACACTATAGATGACATAGGTGAGCAGTTTCTGTCTGAAGAATATGCATTTTCACAAGAAAAGGATTTTGTGTCTTATGCTTATCTCGGAGTATTTATTTTAAAACACAGAATTAGTGCTTTGGAAAAGATGTTGAGTCTGGGTGTAAATGGAAATAATGTCAATGAAAGAAGAAAGTCTGTTCTGATTTACTATTAAACCGTCTAATATGCGGTTCTAAACTCCTAAAGCCCCAAGTACCAGAACAAGAATAAAATCATATCATTTGTAGGAAAGTGGAAAAAATGAAAATTAGAATGTTAAATGAAATAAGCCAGACTTAGAATGTCAAATACTGTGCTCTCTCTGATGAAAATAGGAGGAGGAAGGAGAGGGGAAGAGGAAAGGGTGGTGGATTGAGATAACAAAAGAGTAGAAGGGAGACTGACAGAAAGGGAAGGAAATGGGGGAGGGAGGAAAGGGACAGAGACAAGGAGACGGAAATTGACCAAACAATGTTATATGTGTGTACCAATATACCAAAATGAATCTTGAGTTTGATTCCCAGTACGAAGAAAGAAAGAAGGAAAGATCTGACAATTTTTTATTAAATTAAGATGCACAAGTAAGAAAAATAAAACCCTAAGCAGCAGGCCATAAGCTCACTTCAACTAAGTCAGAAACGCAATTGGAAATTTGTAGAGCATCTGAGTTTGATAATAGTATTTAGCAAGATTTGAGGATTACAGGAGTAGCAATGGTCTTTGACATAAGCTGCATAATAGAAAGACCTGTGTAACTTTTCATACTCTCCCTGTCTGCTTTGCACCCTACATGAGAATCTTTATTGTTGGAATGCAGCCTTAAATCTGTACAGAAACCACAGATGATTGCTCATGTGTTACAGCCGTGGTCTGAGACACTAGAGGAATATGTTAAATACTGATTTATGTATGTAATCAGAAAAAGTCAGAATGTGCAGGAAAAAAACAACCCAACCTAGTTCCTTCATTAATTGCCAAAGAAAATAAAAAGACAAAGATAAAATGAAAAGGAAATGTTAAGAGGTACAACAGTTTGTAGATCATGTTGATATACCAGTCAAACAAGGGTGTTTACAAAGACATTACGAGACATTCAGAGAAATTTGAACATTTCTCTGAACATCAAACATGGCTATTTGATGGAATGAACTTATGATTAATGATATATTGATCATATTCTAGAAAAACAGAAAATTCATATTTGTTAGAGACACACTGAAGTGTTTCACTATTTGATGATTTTATCTCATGGGTTTACTTTTAAATAATAGAGATGAGCACAGTGGAATCTAGCAGATGGAGTAATAAATGAAATGAGGTTGGTTTATTAATAATAACAGAAGATGCATGAAAAGAAACTAAGCTTTTGTTCTAAATTGGCATGTGTTTAATTTCTATATTAAATTTAAACATTTTTTTTTGGTGGTGCCAGGGATCGACCACGAGAACTTGCACTCGCCAGGCAAGCACTTATGCCACTGAGCTATCTCCAAAGCCTTGAATTTAAGATATATCCAGAATGATCAGGAAGCTATCTCAGTGGCATAAATACCTGCCTGGCAAGCACAAGGCCCCAAGTTTGATCCCTGGTACTATAAAAATGAATAAATAACTAAATAAGCAAATAAATCCAGAATTATATGAAAAATTGGACCGTCAGTAAATATTGTTCTTATCCAAAGAGCAAATTTAACCCTGAAGTTTAGGAAACTGTTTAAACAGAGGAAAGGTGTGTGAAAGATACTGTGTATGTAAGGAAAGAAAGCCATCTGGAATGTATAGTTTGAGGGAAAATGCAGGTGAAAGTAGAGAGAAGAGCTGTATTGTGGTCTTCTCTGAAGACCTTTTAAACCTACAGTTAGAAGAAAAGATAATTTCTGGTGTGTTAAAGCACAGTACAGTAACTGCACGTACTGATAATGTAGTGGGCATTACTACAAACATCAGAAAAAATAATTTTGAATACTTTTACCCATAAAGATGTGATAAGTATTTGACATAATAAGTAGGTGTAAACTGATTCAAACATTGCACAATGTGTGCGTGTATTGAAACAGCACATGGCAACACATAAATGCATGAAATTTTTAAGTGTCAGTTAAAACAACTTTTAAAGAATACTTACATTTTATATAGCTTTTTCTAGAAATCCATCAGCTCAAGTCAGCTAAATCCTGGGGAGAATGTGGGAAATGGATTTTTGAAAGTTCATACTGGAATAGTATAATGCACGTGGTTGGCAAAATAGGATTGCATTATTACTGTTGAGATTCAACATCATACTAAATGTAAAAGAAATAAAATCCATAGGACTTTCCTAATGTGATACAGGGAAGGTAGGATCTAGGGACACAGCAGTGGAGGGAACCACGTGGGGCTATGATTAGTGGGGTTGTGAAAGAATGGATGATACTGAACCAAAAACTTCTCTGGCTGTCGTCGTCCTGAAAAATAACCTAGAGCTGTACATGGAACCCTGTTGCCAGAGAAGTTGTATGAGTAGAGAAGGGCCACAAAAAATTGAGGAAAAAAATAATAAGATAGAAAGATTGCAGGATGCATCAATAAGTGTTAAGAGAGAAGTCCCCAAGTGACTAATTAAATTCTTACAAGATAGAATGATCAGATTTAGTTGTTATTAAAATGCAAAAGGGGCCAGGCATGGTGGTGCATGCCTGTAGTCCCAGCACCTGAAAGGCTTAGGCAGGAGGATCACTGCAAGTTGAAGGCCAGCCTGCGGTAAGCAGTGAGACCCTACTCGAAAAAAGAAAGGAAAAAATAATGAAAAGGTAAAGTAGAGATTACAGAGATATAAACTCTTCCCAGATTCACATATGATATTTAATTTGTGTGCACGTAACAGGTGCACTACTGTGTGATCGCTACCATTTACTTTCTATATCTGAGACTTGATCTCTGTTTTACTGGTAGAACTTATTACTGTACTTTTGTTTTTATCCAGGACTTCATGTTTTTTGAAACTGCTCCAAACAAGAACCAAAGTATGGGAGTGGATTCATGAGAGAGTCCTCAGAGAAGTGAAATCATGCACGTTGAGGATATTGAAGAGTAAAGCTTTTTTTTTTCTGTACCAGTATCACGGCTACCTGTATGATTTAAAGTCTGATGCCTATAGATCTGGATAAATGATTTTACTTTTAAATCACAGTCTATTTTCTGTATCTCTGTCATATAAATATGAGACATTTATACATTTTTAGATTTTGTGAACCTGAGATAAAGGGCATGCCTTTGCATTTAGAAATGAAATTTTCTTATAAAATTTTTTGTATTATAATCACGGTCCTACTTTCTATTTTATGCACAATTGAAACATCATAAACTTTAATAAATAACTAAATGACTGAATGTCTTTGGTTAAAATTTATTTCCTGTGACAAACACAATGTTATTTTAAAAAATACTATCTGTTCAAAAACTTGCACAAGCCAGGGTCTGCATCTTTTCTGTTATTGTCTAATACTATTCAATATGGATGCTATAAAGGAAAATTAAAATTGTTTTTCTCTTTAGGAAATCATAATGCATTTAAAATGTTGCTATTAACCAATCTACAATCACAAGTAACTTTTATAAAGAAAAATAATAAATACCCTATTTCAAAGGGCTTTCAGTGAACAAAGTTATGATTTACTGCCAAAGAAACCCTTTAAAGACTCACTACAGAGATCTTCCTCAAATGGGTGGAGGGGGTAGGAGGAGAGGGAGGAAAGGTAGAGAAAGGGGATGGAAAAATTGAAGGGAGAAAATGGTGTTGCAAACTGAACTTGTTGAAATGGGAAAAGAACCAAGAGTTGGAGGGAGCAGGAAGGGAGGAGGAGAGGAGAATTTTTTAAAAAGAAAAAGAAAGATGTATTATGTACATGTACCTTCTTGCCATGGTAAATGTAATCATTATGTATTGCAAACTTACTAATGAATTTTGAAAGATTCATTTTCTCTAAAATCTTAGTGTTGGTATTGTTATGATTTGTGTCTAGTTGTCCCCAAGCGTCATGTCTTTGGGGGTGGCTTCTAGAGTTTGTGGTTAATTCTTGGTCAAATGCTGGGATTAGAGGAGGAAGTGCTAAGCCTTCCCTGGGGCAGATACTCTGCCTACAAATGTAAGGAGGAGAGAAAGGCTAGCAAGCTACGCCAGCTGCTGTCCCTCCCTTTGCTCTTTGCTGTTTTCTACCACTGTGAAAGGCTGCCCCTTGCCATGTGTCACCGTGCCTTGGAGCCAGCTGAGCATGGACTGAAATCTCCATTAACAGCTAAATAATATTTTCCTTCTCTAATTTTGGGTGTTGGGTTTTTTGTCCCAGCAATGGGAGGAAAGTAACTGAAACAGATATAATCTTTGAAATCATTATTTACATGCACAATATTTTATTCCTGTGTTTTTTTATTTGGGGGGGTTGTTGTTTTTTGTTTGTTTGTTTGTTGTATTTTAGGGAAGGGCCTACAGGGTGTTCAGGGTCTCAATACTAGATCAGACTCATAATGATCTGCCTGTTTACAGCCTCCCAAGCACTGGGATTATGGGCACACGCCACCATGCCCAGTCTCAACTGCCATCTCAGCGTGCCCTGGGGATCGAACCCCTGGCTCCTGCGCCTGCTCACAGATGCTTTAACTCCTGTGTTCTAATAATTGTACAATATGATAATGATGAGATTCTCAGATGGCAGTTAAGTGAAAAAGAAATGGATTTGTTCAGATTATAAGCTTCTGTATTGGTTGATCAATTTATAGCAATAAAGGGCAGCCCCCTTTTTAAGCCCCCTTCTATCCTTCTTTGACGGAAAGTATCTTTCTCTCAATAAATTCTTCATGCTCTTAAAAAGAAAATTTTAAAAGTTATAGCAATAAGCAGATATGTAGAGTAAAAGCTTACTGATATATCATTTGCACATTTGCTTTGTGTTTTTAATCCAAATGTGGTCAGTTGGGCTGGCGAGATAGCTGGGGAGATAGCTTGGTGGCATAAGTGCCTGCTTAGCAAGTGCAAGGATCCAGGTTCAATCCCCAGTACTACATGCCTTGTCAGCTTATAAATCAGGGCGAGGTGGTACATGCCTGTAGTTCTAGTGCTAGGAAGGCTGAGACAGGAGGATCACTCTTATGGTTTATGTGTATTTGTCCCCCCAGTTTCTCATGCAATCATGGGGCAAGCTCCTAGTGTGTGTGATTAATTCATGATCTAAGACTGAGATTATGGGTTTGAGTACTGCTGGCATTATGGGTGTGAGTACTACACCCCACCCAGGGCAGATGGTCTGAATGTAACATAAAGGAGAGAGAGACAGACTTCCTCTCTGTTGCCTTGGTTGCTACTAGTCCTACCATTTGCTATTGCTTTTTGCTGCCACCATGAACTGCTGCTCTCTGCCATGTGTCAGTCTGCCTTGGAGCCAGCTGAATATGGACTGAAACCTCCATTAACTGTGAGCTAAATAAACCTTTCCTTCCTTCCTTCATTTTGAGTATCAGATATTTGTCCCAGCAACAAGAGAAGAATAACTGAGACAATTACTATAAGTCCAAACTGCATAGAGAAACCCAATATGAAGATAAGTGAATAAATAAACAACCACAAAAATGTGGTCAATCAGTTTGGTGGGCCTCAGAACACTGACACAGTTAGATGAGCCCCCTTTTACTACTCTTTCCATTCAATATCTCCTTGAACAAGCACATGGGCTGGGGTGCCTGCAGGGAAAAATCCCTACGGGTTGACAGGCTAGACTTTCTCAGTCAGAAATGAAAGGAATTTTGTACTTGTAGGAAGATTGTGTGGAGGAAGTAGAGGGCCAGTGCATATCCTCCCTCATGCTCAGGAGACATAAACTTAGAAAAGACACTCCCATGGGACATGCCCTTTCATCCACAAAACTGCACCAAGGGCTGCTACTCTCCATGCCAAGGCATGTCTGCAGCATCCTAGCACCCCAATGTCTCCAAAGGAAACGGAGGTGAACACACAGCTAAGGCAAGTAAACTACAAAACAAGCGAAGTCTAATGACCTCCCAGCATCCTAATCAGCTCCCTGGATGCTGCATTCTAAGGATGAGTCAAAACCATGGCAGTCATTCCTAACTTACACCAACACAGGGAGCCCGCCAAGTAAAGCACGGGTACATGCACACCTGGATCCCAGGTCATTCCTACCAGCTGGAAGAGAGGGCTTTCCAAGATACTTATGAAGTGGCAAAGCCAATCCCCAGCGAGGCTCAAAGGCAGTGATGTCTCCGACAACTACAAAGCATGGCCACAAAGCACAGTGAATGATTCCGATCAAAAAATATTACAGTGAAAAGCACCTTGTCACTAATCCTCATCAAAAAGCTTGCCCCAAATTTGAGCATATTTATTCCCACCATTCTTGCCATTTTCTGAGACAGTTCAAGATGTTCTCTTCTGTGTCATTAATTACATTTTTGAGGTTGCCTCCATGTCCTAAATTAACATGAAACATTTCCTTTTGGGGCCCATTTTGGCAGAGGAGAAAGCCAGCAATTTCATGGGGCCAGATACGGTGAATAAGGTGGATGAGGACACATCATAAAGTTTCTAGAGGCTGCTTTTCAATTAAATGGCAATCCGCTCCAGCATTCACTGTACTTTTTAATCAGTCCTCATAAAGACACAAAAGAAAATAAATAAATAAATAAATAAATAAAATTTTTTTAAACCATAAAAAAAAAAAAAAAGCCACAAAAGAGACTTCTAGCATGACTTCAAAAGAGTGACCAAAATAATGAGCTAAGTGTGTGTGAAACTACAGGAAGTATTTTGAGGGGTGTTAAATGGCCGCATGTCATTCGCTATAAATAAAATTTGAATGTTCACCATATTTTATGAAAACAACTTGTATGTACTACTTTCGTTTCTTCTCTCTCTCTTCTACATAGAATTATGGAACTCTGTTAAACAAAGTAAAATTGTCACAGATCTGTACCCTGCTTTCTTTCTTTCCTTCAGTCTATCAAGAAAGGTTTGAATACAAGGCATATTACCATGCTCATCTGGGGCCTCCTTTAAGTTTTAGAGAAGGAAGTTGAGGTTACCTGTGGCTGAGTGTGAGAACAAGGGGTGAAGAGATGTGAAGAACCGGCAAGCCTTGTAGCTGCTTTCTGCCACAGACATCAAGGTTTTAACTGGAAGTGCCCAACAGACAAAAATAAAAACAGCAATGGCTTTAAAAGCTACACTAATTGTGAAGTAATTAGCAGGAGCAATGACTAATTGCTCTTTTCCATAAACCTTATCATGAACCAAGGAAACATGACTGAAAATGCTTCAGGGCACAACTCAGTATTTCTGATGCTGCAAAGTACCAGAAGGTACCATAGATATTGTCTCCACATTCTGCTCAACTACTATTCATCCCCTGCACACTATAGCCTAATGCTCTGGATTTCCTTGAAGAATGTCCTTGTTTTTTTCAGGTGTTATCCCTATAAAAGTTTGTATTTATTTATTTGTTCGTTTGTTTGTTTGTTTGTTATGTATTTGGTAGTCTCACTAAGCAGCTCAGACTCATAGTGATCCACCTGTTTTCAGCCTCCCCAGCACTGTGATTACAGGCATGCACTGCCATGCCTGGTCTCAGTGGCCTGCTCAGTGTGCCTGGGGGTGGGACTGGTGGGGCTGATGAAGCAGGGGATCGAACCCCATTCCCTTTGCTTGCCTAAGCAGGCACTTCGTCTGCTGAGCTATCTCAGCACTACTTTTATGGGATTTATTTATTTATTTATTTATTTAGTAGAGAGTCTACACAGATTGAGCTCATAGAAATCCTCCTGTTTGCAGCCTCCCAAGTGCTGGGATTACAGGCACATACTACCGTGTCCAGTTTTCTTTGCTGTCTCAGTGCGCTCTCGGGTTGGGGCTAGCACAGCAGGCAGGAATCAAACCTTCTGCCCCTATGTCTGCCTAAGCAGGCACTTTAATGCGCTGAGCTATCTAGCTGGCCCTTTATCTTTTATACATTTTAATTTCCTTGTTTGTCAGTCCTATAGTTTCGGTTGAGAATAGCATTAAATTTACAAGTTTAGTGCGAGGGTTGTGACCTAATCCAGACCAGTGGAAGGACATACATGCCATTTCCTACAGTAGAAACCATAACATGGGGGGGAAGCTATGAGTTGATAATGATCAGTGATTCTGAATACAGAGAAGTGGCTCAAATTTTGACATCTTGAGATTTCTGTTCTATGACTTTGCATGGCATGTAAAGTTCCTTCTGAATTCTCAAATGAGGACTGATTCACTCTTTGGGGTAAGAAAATCAAACTCACAAATTGGGAGCTCATTCTAATCTCACAGAAGTTTGGAATATATCTGAGTACAGTGGCAGGGACTTTTTGTTAACCTTCCTTGCGCAAATTAAGACAAGCTACAGAAGTAGAGTGGCAAAAATCCAGGCCGTGGAATCAAACTAAACAGTACAAGGCTTGAACTCAAAGCTCAGTTTTATTCAGAGACAGAATAGGATGGGCATCCACAGAGCTAAGGGGCCAGAGATCTCTGATTACCTTCTTTACAGTACAGATTTACATTAATTTTTTTTATTTTTTTATTTATTATGAGAGAGAGAGAGAGAGAGAGAGAGAGACAGACAGAGAGAGGGAGACAGAGACAGAGACAGAGACAGACAGAGAGAGGGAGACGGAGACAGAGACAGAGACAGAGAGATAGAGAGAGAAACTAATTCATCTTATTCAAGTCCTGAAAATTCTAATTTGAAGACATGGACAAGGGGTAGTTTGCGGTTTGTT